AGAAATTAAGGGAATTTGTTAAAACTAGACCAACCTTACAAAAGATGCTAAAGGGAGTCCTTTGGACATAGAAGCAACAACAGCAAAGAACAACTGACCATTAACACACACGATGATATAACCCAGAAACTAACGCAGCTATGGAAGTATCCAAAGTAAATAAGCCTACAAGATTGTAAACAGGGAACCAGAGACTTCATTTGACAAATGAGGACAACTATAAACCAAAAAAAAAAGGAAAAATCTGTATCATTACAGAACTTCTAGATGGTAGGGAAGTCAAGACAACTACAAGGTAGAACAGACTGTTCTAAACTTGGAAAGAAAACTATTTTCTTTGAGGGTAACCTCAAAGAAAAATTATAAACCTTCATATCAAAATAAAAAAGAGGACCAGCGTAAATATTTAGCAAATACTAAAACAACAGCAACAAAGGAAGTGATAACACTATTCATAAACAAGCTCAGCATAGAAAATTATATGGAACAAAGAAATCAACACCACAAAAAAGCACATAGCAAAAATGACAGCAACAAATTCATATTTGTTGATAATTAATGCTATCCAGCACTAAAGAAGAATGTAGAGTCTGCAGAACACCGCATAATATGGATGAACTTGGAGGACATTATGCTGAGTGAAATAAGTCAATCACAGAAAGACAAATAGAGTATTAGTTCATTGTTGTGGAGGGTCAAGGAAAGGTTTATATATGGAGGGAAACTTTCTTTGTTGGTTGCCAGGGGTGGGAGGGGAGGGAAGGGAAAAAAAAAAAAAAAAATGCATTGACCCATGCCACTTTAGTTTTGTGTATTTCACTGTACATAAATTAGATTTCAATAAAATGCATTTTAAAAAAAATCAATAGGGAACTGCCAGAGGTTCAAGCTGAATTCAGAAGAGGACATGGAACGAGGGATATCATTGCTGATGTCAGATGGATCTTGGCTCAAAGCAGAGAATACCAGAAAGATGTTTGTGTTTTATTGACTATGCAGAAGCTTTTGACTGTGCGGGTCATAACAAATTATAGATAACATTGAGAAGAATGAGAATTCCGTAACACTTGATTGTGCTCATGAGGAAGCTATACATAGAATAAGAGGCAGTCACTGTAACAGAACAAGGGGACCTGCGTGGTTTAAAATCAGGAAGGGAGTGTGTCAGGGTTGTGTCCTTTCACCATACTTATTCAGTCTGTATGCTGAGCAAATAATCCAAGAAGCTGGACTAGATGAAGATGAACACGGCATGAAGATTGGAGGAAGACTCATTAACAACCTGAGATATGCAGACGATACAACCTTGTTTGCTGAAAGTGAAGATGACTTGAAGCACTTACTGATGAAGATTGAAGCCTTCAGTATGGATTACACCTCAACATAAAGAAAACAAAAATCCTCACAATTGGACCAATAAGCAACATGATGATAAATGGAGAACAGAGTGAAGTTGTCAGGGATTTCCTTTTACCATCAATGCCCACGGAAGCAGCAGTCAGGAGTAGTATTGTACTGGGCCAATCTGCCGCAAAAGATCTCTTGTAAGTGTTAAAAAGCAAAGACGTCTCTTTGAAGACTAAGGTGCCCCTGACCCAAGCCGTGGTGTTTACAATCACCTCATATGCGTGTGAAAACTGGATAATGAGTAAGAAAAACTGAAAAACAGCTGATGCCTTTGAATTGTGGTGTTGGCAAAGAATACTGAAAGTCCCATGGACTTCCCGGAAGCAAGGACCAATCTGTCCTGGAATGCTCCCTGGAAGCTCAGGAGACTTCATTTTACCCACTTTGCTCATGTTGTCGGAAGGACCACTCCCTGGTAAAGTGGAGGGTCAGCGAAGAAGGGGCAGACCCTCCACGAAATGGACTGTGTCTGTGGCAATGGGCCCGAGCACGGCAACGACTGTGAGGATGGCGCAGGACCAAGCTGTGTTTCGTTCGGTTGCACACAAGGTTGCTGTGAGTCTGAACTGACTCACCGACCGGGACTTAACAAAACAACAGCAACAGCCTTCATGGGAGCAGCTCACGAGGACTTTCTCCTACAGTGCTGCTGTGTGGCTCCCCACTGCCAGCCTTCCGGTTAGACACCGAGTGCTTAACTGTTAGGCCACCAGGGTTCCTTGTAAGATGCGCGCAGGTCATCGATGCACAAAAAGCACACCCCACGTGCTATGGGCAGTCTTCACTCCAGAATCAGTCCCTCTCTTCACCCCGAGGCCCTGAGTGAGCGCCACAGGAGGCCATGCCACAACTACTCAAATACCAGCCGGGTCACCCACGGTGGACAGGCTTCCGAGGAGCTCCCCCACTGAGACTGAGAAAGGTCTGGCATTGGCTTCTGAAAATCAGCCAAGGAGAGCCTTATGGGTCACACTGGAAAAGGGTCCAGCACAGTGCTGGAAGGTGAGCCCTAGGTTGGAAGGCAGTCAGAATACAGTGGCCGCCATGGACCGGAGCAGACCAACGGTGGTGAGGTGGACAGCTGACGCAGGACCAGGTAACGTTTCATTCTGGCGTTTATGGGGTCAGTACGAGTAGGCACCGACTCACAGCAAGAGTGGAGCTGGGAGTCCATGTCCGGGGTACATCCTCCACATCAGCAAACTGCGAGCACAAAAGGAATGTGAACAACAGATACGCAGAGGGAGGGACTTTTATTAGGAGACAGGCAGCTGGGCTCAGCCCAGGAGAACACACTCTCCCCTCCTCCTTGTCCAAGGCCAGTCATCTGGTGGTCACCTGAGTCACAGACACAGATGGCAGCTGGGGCTGGGGCTGCTTGGAGGCGAAGACAAGGGACAAATCAAGGCCTTGGCAACTCTGGTGGGAGTTGGAGAGAATCCCAGAGATGGCTTGAGTGGTGGGACCGGTGTGATGTGGCCAAGGCCCTAGAGCAAGTCCCGTCACCACTCAGAGGCCCAGTTTTCTCATCTGAAAATGGAATCGTAGCATCCTCAATGGGGGGCGTGGGGGGGGGGCGGGACACGAGGGCAGGCGTTTGAAGTTCCAAAAGCTGTGAGTGATTCCAACGCTGGGAGTTTCCCTCGTTGGTCCTTTTCTGTCAGGATGAATCCACTTGTGCTCTGGCCGGTCTCTCAGAGCTGTCACTCTGTATGTTCTGTCCCAGAGACGGTTTGGTGGAGCGGTTTTGGGAAGGTGAGGAGCGACACACCCAGAGCTCAGGCAGCCAATATGGACGTGGCCGTGACATTGAGCTCTTGGCGGATGAACCAGGCCCGCGGGCGCGGTACCCAGCCCCGCAGCAGACACAGCAAGTGGAAGCGCCACGGGTAGAAGACGCCTGAGGCCCGCGTGGCGCCACCACGGATCACGGCCAGAGCTGCCTTGGGCCCTGGGGCCGCCCTGGCCCTCCTGACGCCCCTGGGGACAAGAGGGCATGGTAGGGACTGCGACTGGGGCTGGAGCTAGACGGCTCCCCTAATCCCCGGCCGGCCCGCCCTCACCTGACTTCCTCGGCAGCCGAAGCACGATCCTGGAGGCCCAGGACGCACACGGTGATGGCCACGTTCACATCCTGCACGTCCAGTTCCCGCCGAAGGGAGCCAAAGAAACCATCCAGTGCGAACTTGGCCGCCGAATAGGGGGCGGAGAAGGAGGCGGGCACGCGGCCTAGGGGAGCGAGAGGGCTCATGGGCTACATGCCTCCTCCTCCAGGAAGCCTTCCTGCCTACTGCCCCCTCCCAGGATGAGCGATCACCTCCTCCCCATTATTCCCCCTCCCAAGAGCCAGACTCCTCTGCACGCACCAAGCAGGGAGGACACCACCACCAAGGCACCTTTGCTGTCTGTCAGGCTCGGCAGGGCCAAGGAAGTCAGCTGCAGATAGCTCAAGAAATTCACCTGGAGAAGGCGACCAAGAGTGACCAGGCCGAGGCTGAGCCTGGGACGGGACAGGGCCAAGACCCACGCAAAGGGGTGCTTCCTAGGGTAGACAGGGGCAGGGCCCTGAACAGGGGGACCTAGAGCGTGGAGAGGAGGGGTCCGAGGCCTGGGGGGCGGGGTCTGGAACAGGGAGGGGGCGGAGCCAGAGCTGAGCTTGTTGGCGTGGGACCTGAAGGGGTTGCATGGGGAGGGGGGAGGCAAGCCAGGGTTGAGGAGGGGGCGGAGCACCTGAATAAGCCAGCGGGTGCCCTGGGCGCTGCGAGCCCGCATGCCGGCCGGGGTGGCCCCGATGTGGTTCAGTACGAGGTAGTCCAGCCCGCCTGGCCCGGAGAGGCTGATCAGCCCGAGGACAGCCCTCGAAAGCCCCGTTCCTTGCTCCAACGCCCCTGTGCTTAGGGAGGCCGGCCTCGGACCATACTCCCTGAATCTCGCAAGGATTCATCCGAGGAGGCCGCATCCAGAGTCCAGCCCCGGGGATCCAATTAGACCCCGCCCCTGGCCACGCCCCTGCCCCATAAGTGCCCGCCCACAGGACGCCCATCACTACCATACCCCCACCCCAGTTGAGTCCAAGGCCTAGGCCCCGCCCCTCACCCAGCATCTCCAGCGCAAACCGCACCACGCGCTCGGGCGCCTCAGGGGAGGCCATGTCCGCAGCGATGTAGAAGACCTTGGGGGCGCCCAGCTTCCGGCAGTTCCCTAACACCTGGGGGGGCCAGAGCTGCCCGTGGGCCCCTCCACCTCAGCTGGCTCCCCCCAGCTACTATCCACCTTGGGTCCCCAGACTGATGCCCCACCCTCTACTCTTGAGCCTCGGGTCCCACTCCACATCTTCCTCAAAGCTTTAGAACCGGGGTCTTACCGAACCCTGAGCCAAAATGACCTGTGGATGGTCTGTTTGATCAATTACAATATTTAACACTGGGGAGCTTCCACATCCATCTCCAGATTTCTGGAAGCTCAGGTGGCCTAATGCCTAAGGCATTCAACTGCTAACCAGGAGGCTGGTGGTTCAAACCCACCAGCCACTCCCATAGAGATACGGCCTCCGAAACCCAAGGAAGGGTCGAAACCCAAGCAAGGGTTGCTGAGTCCGAATGGACTCCACAGCAGTGAGTTTGGTTTTTTTGGTTTCCAGATTTCTGTCTTCTCTTCAACATTTGGTTTCTTTGAGACAATGGGCTGTGCTAACAGGTGTCCCTCCATCCTCCTTTAGAGAACACTGACTTTGGGTGGACTTCATCAATACAGTACTCCCATTTACTGCTTTACATTCACTGCCTTACTGAATTAACACATCACCACAACCCATGAGAAGATACTTTTGTTGTCCCCATTTTGCAAATGAGGAAATAGGCTCAGAGAGGTTAATCAACTTGCCCAAGGTCACAGAGCAAGCTGGCCGTGTATCGAGCCCAGGCTCTTCTGCACCCCACCCCCACCCTGAACAACAGGGCAGCTCACCTTCTGCAGGAGGGCTTCAGTGTGGTCAGTGAGTACCAGGTGGGCGCCTAGGTGGGCATAATGATAAGCCAGCTCCTCACCGACACCAGCAGTGGCCCCTGTCAGCAGCACACGGGCTCCCTGGAGGCTGGCTGCACGGGCTCCCTGGAGGCTGGCTGGCAGTGGGGAGGAGTGGTCAGCCTTCAGGGTGGGCAGGACAGCAGGTCCAATTTCTCCCCTGTCCCCTGGCCCTGAGCACTCACCTGGGTCAAAGTTGTCATCCCAATAATAGGCGAAGAACAGGGCCCCGAGCCCCGTGAGGAACAGCACCTTCATGGCCCTCCCTGGGCCTGCAGTGGGACAGAGGGTGGCTGGCACCGCCCATTTCCCCAAAAACCAAAAAAACAAACTCAATGCCATCAAGTCAATTCTGACTCACAGCAACCCCCACTGGGTTTCCGAGGCGATAAATCTTTACTGGAGTAGATTGCCCAGTCTTCCTTGCGCGGAGAGGCTGGTGGGTATGAACCGCCAACCTTCTGGTTAGCAGCCAAATGCCTTACATACCGCACCACCAGAGCTCCTTCCATTTCCCCAGGAGCACCTTTATTCAATAGGCCTCGTGATGGCCCTGGACCTGTCTCCTCTGTACCTCCATGGCCATCACTTGTTCCGGGCCATCATTATGGCTCACCTAAACCACTGCCCCAGCCTCCTCTCTCCTCTGAGCCTTCTCGCTTCACCCAGCAGCCAAAGCACATCTTGTTCCAATCTTGCAAATCCTCCCCTTTCACTTAGAATAAAACCCTGACTCCTCAATGGCCAAAGAGATCCAGCATGGACCAGCCCTGCCCTGCCTCCTTGTTCAGATACACAAGTTCCTCAAAGTGGCCAGACAACAACTGCCCCAGGGCCTTTGCACTGACTGACTTAGTCCCTCTGACAAGGCTTTGCCCAAGATATGCAAATAACTTGCTCCCTAATCTCCTTCAACTATTTTCAAGTGGGCTTCCTTTCCTAAAGTAGCCATTTTTTAACTAACTCTAGCTCTCTGGGCGCCTTCTCAACATTAATCATCACCTGAAATTATCTTGATAATTTGGTACATGTTCACTGTCAAGAGAAATCTGGCCGTGCTCTTTCTGCTCCAAACACTCCCACTGCCCTGGGATGAGACCAAGCTCCTCACAGCAGCCCACAAAGCGTGGGTCTGGCCTCTGGCCACCTGTCCAACCTCCTGGCCACTAGTACTCTCTGAATCTCGGAGAGTTCTCAGAAAAGTCAACTCCTCGCCCTTTTCCAGTCCGCCAGGAACCTCCTCAGAGCGGAAGGCACTCTCACCTATCCCTGCTTCCAGGAAAAAATCCATGAAGCCCCTCAGCTTCCCCCACTTCCTGCCCTGACCACACGAGTCCCAAAAAGGGAGGTGGGGTGGGTGGGATGGATGAAGCAGCCCTAAGGAACAGGGGTACTGGATCCTCACAGAATCCACTGGGTCCTTAACCTTGCTAGGTCTTAGTTTACACTCTGGGCAAAAGGGGCCCCGTTGCGCAGCCCCAACTGCGAACTCACCTACTCAGGCCTCGGTTGCCAACCGTCGTCTTGCATGACTAGAATCCGGGCCTGGAAGCCGCGACCACGACCCTCCAGGCTCCCTTCCGGCGTCCGCTCGAGCCCCCCGATCGCGCCCCCTCCCGCAGGGCCAGAGCTACACGACCCCAAACCCATTACCTACTCCCATCTAAGGGAGAGGCCTGGGCTGTGGGGACTCCGCGCCCGGCGTTGCCGAGGTAACGGCCTCCCTTTCCCGCCTGGGGTCTGGCCCCACCCCGAAGTACATCACATGACTTAGGGCCCGCCTCCCCCGAACAATTCCACCAGCACATCGCCATGACAACCTCATTCTAGGCGCTATTCTCTAAGCTTGGGTCCTTAGTACCCCGCGCGGGCGCGGGTGGGTTTCACGGACCCCGATATCTCTTTGTTCTTCCTTAGGCCTCTTCAGACGTCTGACACCTCTCTGCCCTCACGCTGTCAGGGCCGAGGCGGACTGGACTTCATTTCTCAGGAACCTTGGCGACCACGTGAACCTTTGGCGGTTTTACGGGGCGCTGCCGACTACATTTCCCAGCAGCCCCAAAGGCATCTCGAGCAGTAAAGACTACATTTCCCAAGAGATCTTCGCGGTGGGACTACAGTCTTTCTTGGGCGTCGGACTGGAGCCAGGAAGTCCGCCCCTGACTCCCTGAGGCCTCTGCGAGTGGCAAGAGGGACTACGCCTCCCAGAGGCTTCTGCGGCGCCGCGACCGGAAGCGACGGGCGAGCCGAGTGTCCTTGCGCGCGGAATAGACTGACCATGGTGGCTCGAGTGTGGTCGCTGATGAGGTGCGTGGGACCACCGGGCGGGTCAGCCCCCAGCCCCTGGCCCCCAGAGAAAGCGGGAACACCCCCCACACACACACATACACTCCGGTTTGATCCCGATCTTGTCTTCGCTTCCCTTAATGCCAGGCCTTCACAGGCCATATAGGGAAACAGGCTAGGCGGGGAAGGCTTGCCAAAGCCACCCAAGCGCATCCCTCCTATTTCCCAGCGAGCCCAGAGGGCTCACTGCAGCCGAGACCCCTCCGCTCCTCAGTTGTCTCCTCCGGAAGACAGGAATATCCAGAGAATCCTTCCCCACACGTTTTTTGGGCGCAGCGTGTGACATGCAAGAAGCGCTCAGGAACACTTAGACACCCCCCCTCCCGTGGCTCGCGGGCAGAAGTCCAGGGTCTTAAGCCGTCACTGTTCCCTGCTCTCCGCGAGATCTTGAGTGACCTAATGTCCGTTTCTGGGCTTCGTTGTTGTTGTTGTTATATGCCGTCGAGTCGGACCCGACTCATAGCGACCCCTCCTTGGGTTTCCAAGGCAGTAGTATCACTACGAAGTAGGATTGCCCAACCTTCCTTCCGAGGAGTGTCTGTTGGGTTTGAACCGCCAGCCTTCTGGTTAGCAGTCAAGTACCTTAGGCACGCTGGGCTTCAGTACCAGTTAAATGGAGTGAAGCATTTTTTCTTTGCACACTGTAAATTCAGTATTGTGCCTTAGTGGGTCTGTCTTCCCCTGCTCTCACACGTCACCCGCTGAACTGTGGTGCCCTGGGAGCGTCCAACGTGTGCCCGGGGACACGGGCTCCCAGGGTGCATGGCCAGCGGTGCATGCTGAGCTTGTGTGGCTCCTCCCTCTTGCACCCACAGGTTTCTCATCAAGGGCAGCGTGGCAGGGGGCGCAGTCTACCTGGTGTACGACCAGGAGCTGCTGGGACCCAGTGACAAGAGCCAGGCAGCCCTTCGGAAAGCCGAGGAGGTAATCCCTCCAGCCATGTATGAGTTCAGCCAGTACGTGTCCAAGCAGATGGGCCTGCAGATACCCCAGGTACCCTGGGCTGGAGGGAGGCCAAGGCTGGGTGAGGAGTCCACTCTGGAATCTCCCTGGGTCCCTGTGTGCCCAGGTGGGCCTGATTCTGAGGCACAGGGTCTTCTCTCAGCCTTCGGAGAGGGCTGTTGGGCCCTTCTCTTCTCACCAGCCCCCCTTCTCTGCCTTTCCCCAGATCCCACCCCCTCCGAAGCTTAACTTTTCCATTCGAGACTCGTGGAATTCAGGTAGGCCCCTAGGCCCTCTAATTGGAGGGGTGAGGGGTGGCCTAACCTAGACCCCAGATGTTCAAGCCTAATACCCACTCCCCACCAAGTGTAAAAGAGGAGATGGGTAGAAACTCCAGGCAAGTGGAGGGGCCGTGTGTTGCTTGGGTGGAATGGAGAATTGGGGTTTGATTTTGTTATATGATCTCCCACAAAGCAAGGCCATCACCCTCCTCTGGCTTCAGGGAGCTGAAAGGTTGGGGGTTCAAACCCACACAGAAACACCTTGGAAGACAGGCCAGGTGATCTGCTTCCAAAAGGTCACACACGCAGCCTTGAAAACCCTATGGAACAGTTCAGTCTACACACGTGGCATCGCCAGGAGTCGGAATCGACTGGAGGGCAACCAGCAATTCCCTCTGCTGCCTCAGTTTCCTCACTTGGAATTGACAGCACAGGAAGTGGTGCCTCTAAAAACCTAGAGTGTCTCAGGGGTTGGACTGAATTCCTTGTTGGAAGGGCCTGGGTGGCTGGCTGGGTGGGGACCCTCACCAGGCAGGTGCCCCCGCTCCCTGCCGCACAGGTATCGTCACGGTGATGTCAGCACTGTCGGTGGCCCCCTCCAAGGCCTGCAGCTACTCTAAGGAGGGCTGGGACTACATCAAGGAGCGTGTCAGGGAGCATTCCAAGTAGCGGGTCGGATGAAGCCACCTGCTTCGGCTAGGCACGGGAGCAGGGATGACATGGACCGGAAGACTCCAGCCCGGGACCCCCCTCTGAGGGCAGCTCATGGCCTTTCGGGCCCAATAAAGGACTTCAGAAGTGTTGCTCAACCAGTGTGCTGGGCCTGGGGCTCCTGGTGGCTCCTCTGGTGCCATCTGGATGCTGCCCACTGGGGCGTTCAGCCTGGGGGGGTCCAGGCGGACAGTGGGACCTCTTGCACCCAGTGGAGACAGTGCTCGGGGTGCTGGGAAGACTGAGAAGGTGCTGAAGGTGAGCCGGTCTTAGTTACTGGAAGGCTAACCACAGGAAGTGGGTGGGATCCACACCTCCTTCACCCTCAGCCCCAGCCATGGCTGCCAAGTCTCCCTCCTGCTCAGGTGGCTGGTCTATCGCTGTCCTCCTTCCAGCCCAGCCCTCCTTTTTCTGGTCCCTAGCCTTGTTCCACCCTCTCCTTGGCAACCCTGGCTAATTCCTGGAGTGGACAAGCCTGATGATGCCATTGGGGTCCCACCCCACAACAACATTGTTCTGGTTCCCTGGTGGCGCTCTGACAGGAATACACCACCAATGGGATGGCCGTAACAAACAGGAGTTTATTCTTAACAATTTGGAGGGTTTAAGTCCAAGTTCAAAGTGCCAGGCTCTAGGGGCTGGGTGAAAGCCCCTCAACCTTGGGGTCCAGCTCTGCCTCCTGCTCCCGGTCCACTAGAGCTAGAGGTGTTTCTTCACTCAGACAGCTGCTGGCTGCTGAGGCTGAGAAGCCCCAAGGTTGACAAGTAAAAAGGCACAGTCCTGATGTTACCAAACCACATGGCAGGCCATTAACTTAAGTCCATTAAGTCCCAAGGTCAGCAGAGCATAGCAGGCTGCTGAGCAATGACACGGCTACATGCAGGGTCCAAGCGTGCCATAGGCTAGAGACCATTCCCAAGGCTTCTCCTTATATACAGGACACAGACCACATCCCAAAGGCAGCTACTTAGCTGCTTGTGGTAGATCCCACTGTGGAGTTGATTGCCAGTCTCATCATGGGGAATAACTACCACCAGCTGCCCAGCCACTGAACCAGGCCTAGCCAACTTGACACACAAATATAACCACCACAGACATCTCCCTGAGAAGCCCTCCCTAACCCCCCACCCTGGTGGGCTCGACTGCCTGATCCCCCATCTGGGCCCTGATGGCCCTGGTGATCTGTGTCTGTGTTCCCTATTGGGCAGTGAGCCTATCTATGTGTCCCTGCTGAGAACACAGCCCCAGGGACACCCAGGAGGTGTGCTGATGATGAGTAGGACCCTGTGCTGGGAACCAGAGCCTGAGGTTGCTACCGAGAGAGGGTGGGGGTGGGCTTGGGCGAATGGAGGGCCGGGTCAGGGGGCCCTCCACCTGGGGCAATGTCCTCTGTTCCTGAGCTGCAGTTTCTGTTGACAGCTGAGGGATGGAGTTCACCCAGACGGGGAGTTGAGAGGAACAGGGAGGGGCAGGTGAGGGAAGCAGGCCCAGGCCCCTCCCCAGTCTGACCAGCACATGCCTCCCCAGGAGAAACCAGTGCACCTCCATCCCATTCTCCCGGGAGGAATGGAGAGGGTGCAGTTGGTTGGTGGCTTGGGGAGGGCACTCACAGTGACCAGCATACCCATGGTCTCTAGGAACACGGGCAGGTCTCCCATGTCCAGTGTGTTCCCCTAGATGCTTGGTGCTAGCTGGCTGGCTCCCTATACCCCCTGGGCCTGTTGGGCCTCCGAGTTGAGGGCAGGATGAGTGGGGCTAGGGAGCAGTCTTAATCCTTGCTTCTCAGTCCTGTCAAGGAAGGGCCCACACTGGCCATGGTGACCTGGAGCATGATCCCAGTGCAGTGGAGGGATCATGGCGCAGGCTGACCCCAGGAAGGAGGAAACTGTGTGCCCATTTTACAGATGAGGAAACTGACAAGGCCGGATTCAAAGCCCACTCTTCCTTCCCTGGGGCACCCATGGGCCCTGGCCTGGCTCTCACTGTACATGGCCCGCACAGGTCCCTGGACGTCATGGATGCCCTGCCATCATGGTCATTTATAGAGAGGGAGAGGAACCTAAAGAGTGACAGTCACCTATCAAGGTGTCCCCATTAGAAGGCAGGCCCCGTCTTGAAGTACAGTAACTATTTCAGGCCGCGACATTGAGTTACTGCTTTGAGGAGTCCTGTCAAATCCCAGCAAAGCAAACAAAAGGAAACTGTCCTTTGCACCCTGGAGAGACAGCTGCCACTGGGGAGGCAGACTCAGCCCTTCTGCCCACCTCACATCCCACCAGGTGCTGTGACTGCAGCCTCACAAGCTGCACCTGGACCCATGGAATTGGTTACAGCCACCATGGCAGTCCAGGGTCAAGGAGCTGTGGGGGCCGTGGCACAGGGACTCTAGAAGGGCAGAGGTGGTCCCTGGGCTGCTTGGGTGGGTGGGAAAGGGTTGGAGAAGCACGTGACCACAGCCACAGCCACACATCACCTCATAGCAGCATGGACCAAGGCAGAGGTGGTCTGTTAACACAGGTGAGAAAGTCAAGGCCAGTGGTGAGTGGTGGCTGTTTGAGAGCACAGAGCAAAGCCTCCCTGGGAGCTGCCATTGCGCGTGCTGCTGCAAGCTGGGCCTGGCTGCTGCGAGCAGCCCCCCGAATGTGCCCACTGCTTTCCTGGGCACCTCAGGCCTATGTGGGTGGGTGGGGAGGCGGGGAGAGGGATCCCTGGATGCTGACACTGAGCCCCAAGGTCCCACGGTCACTGCCTGGTCTAGCAGCGGGTCAACCGCTAGCTCCCCTTGATTTCCCACGGCTGCCCTCCATCCCCACAGACCCAGAGCCAGGCTGTGGACCCATGTGCCTCTCACCCCTCCCTCCTCGTGTCCACTCAGACCTGTATTTCTCACTGTCCTCTTGGATGTGTCACCAGGGCCCAAGTGTTCTCCCTGGTTTTCCAACCACGAGGACTACCCTTGGCCAACTTGTCTTCCAAAGTCCAGCTGTGGTCACGTCCCCCCCCCGCTTAAAAAACCTTCTGTGGCTCTCCACTGGCCTCCAGCTGAGCCCGGCCTCCTTTGAGGCGCTTCCAGGCAGGCCAGGACCCACAGCTCCCCGAACACAGCTTTGCCCCACCACCAGCCTCTGTCCACGACACTCATGCCCCTGCACCCTGCTGTCCTTTCTCCTGAGCTGGCCGCTGCTCCTCCTACTTGAAATTTAGACACCCCCTCCTCCAGGCAGCCTCCCCTGACCTCAACCCCCTACCCCTGGGCTGAGTCAAGTGCCCTCCCTGAACCCCCATGCTGCCCATGCATACCCCCATTGTGGCAAGCATCACACTGGGGCCAGGGTTCTTCACCGAAGACTGCTTCGTGGGGACCCTCACGAGGTCTACCTCCAGAACAGAAGTGGTGGAAGTCTGACTGGAACAGGACTTCAAACTGGTTCGTTCCAGTTCAAACCCCTGCTGAAAATTTGCCTTTCCACCCCAGATACACTGAATCAGAATCTACTTGTCAGAATCACCTGGAGATCTTGTTAAAACCTAGTGTATTCTCAGCAGGGGGTCAGTATGCTCAGTAGTTGGTCAAACAAGACTGAACTGGTTAGAAGCCCTTTCTGAAACTTGGCAGCTTTTCCAGGCTGTGGCTTTCGCCCTGTCATGCCCCTCAGTCTAAGATGACCCCCGTCAGCTGGGGCCCTGATGAGATCCACCGGTCACAGGCCTGATCGCTAATGAGAGATTGTGTAGCCAAGACCTTGGGGAAAGTTCTAGGCCACATTTTTTTCGTTTGTACAATAGTCTTTTCTAAATCTTTAGGTTTTGGTGGTGTAGTGCCTAAGGCATTTGACTGCTAACCAGAAGGCTGGTGGTTCAAAGCCATCAGCCACTCCTCGGAAGGAAGACTGGGCAATCTACTTCTGTAGAGATGCCCCCTTGGAAACCCAAGGAGAGGTCGCTATGAGTCGTACCTAACCTGATGGCAGTGCGTTTGGTTTTGGTTTTCATTTTGCAGTTCTTTCCTCATATTTCACTACAATCAGCAAGGAGAAACCATGTGCCCTTTTATCGTGCTTAAAGTCTCAGCCAGATGGCCAAGCTTGTCACTTCCAAGTCCTGCCTTCCATCAAACATTCGGACACAATTCAGACAGGTTCCCTGCCACCTCATAAAAAAGGACAAATCCAACGACACCCACACTGCACAGGACATGAACCACTGACGAGTGATCAACTGTTCCGTAAAACACACACACATTGCCACGCTGGCCGCAGAGGAACTACATTTTATGCTCTGAATAAAGAGATGGTATGAAAATATCCAAATGAGTAGGACCCAGTTTTCTCAAATAAACATTGACTCCCATGGAAGTCAACTCCCACAGGCGGAGGCAGGAGTGCTCATTAGCTTCAAGCACAACAGGGAAATGTGTTTTGTTTTTTTGACATGAACAACAGAACAAGGAAAGATGAGAGCACAGGGAGACTGCAGCATTTAAACGTCCATCAACATGTGATTGGTTGCATACAAGTCTTACAACAGGAAGCACCCAGTATGGAAGAATGAAGTCGCTGTGTTGTTAGGTCCGCTGAGCAGATTTTCCATTCAAAATGACACTTCGACAGAGAACTGCTCAGTAGTGTTTTCTAGGCTGTCATCTTTAGGGGAGCAGATTGCTAGGTCTTTTTCCCACAGAGCCACTGGGTGGGTTTGAACCACCAGCTTTTGGTTAGCAGCTGAGTGCTGGACAGCAACTATTCCACCAAGGCTCTCTGTGTACTGACACAGAGACTGTGAGTGTTATGAAAAAAAAAAAAAAAAAAAAAAACACAGAGTAGGGTTAGTTTTGTAAATAAAATCTCTCTTGTAACCTGGCCTGGAATAAAACCCTGTAACATCTTGACATCCTTCAGTGGTTTTCCAGCATATGGTGTTTTAACAAGCAGTACTGATATACATACACAACTAAAAGACACGTTGAAAATAGGTTATTCATGCAATTGGATAAAATTCCAAAGACTCAAATGGGTGCCTGGTGAATAACCCCTCCTTCTCTGTCCCCAAAGAGCTCTGATGGTACAGTGGTTAACCCATTTGGCTGCTAACCAAAAGGTCGGTTGTTCTAACCCAGTAGTCGCTCTGTGGGACAGAGTTGAGGCAGTATGCTTCTGAGGTTTACAGACCTGGAATCCCTATGAGGCAGTTCTACTCTTCTAAGAAGGGTGCTATGAATGGGAATTTTTTACTTTTTCTGGCCCTAGAGCTAGTAGGGCTGCAGGTTCCCACGACTCTTGCTGGTGGTCGTGTAACAGTGACGTCTGTCTGGAGGCAGCTCTGGGCGCCAGCTGCCTTAGTCTCACGAGCAATGTTTCCCAGCCACATTTCACGGAGAAAGCAGGATCTGCTTGGCATGAGTGGCCATGCACACTTGCTGCTCACCACGAAGCTGGAGGTGCCCTGTGTGGAGGCAGAGGACGGGCAGCAAGGGCAGCTAAGGGTCAACGGCCTCAAAGTAGAGGGACCAGCGGTGGCAGTGTGCTGCAGCCTGCTGCACCCTGAGGCTGGGAAGGGCTGTACTGCCCACAAACTGCTGCTAGCAATCTCAAGCGTCCTTTCAACCTCTGCTTTCAAAAACGAAAGGCCCCCTGGGGAGCAGCTAGCTTATTCTGGATGACTACCAGTGGCGCTTTGAACCCACCCACTGGCACTGTGAAAGAAGACTTAAGACTTAAGCCTGTGGAGCTTAACCCTGGGGAGCAGCTCTATTCTGCTGTGAGGGTGGGGTCACCATGAGTCAGAAATGACCTCATGGCAATGGGCTTCTTATTTTCACCGAAGAGTCATGGTTCAGCACTGTTTGGCATCAAGATTCACTTAAAAGACACGGCAATAAAAAAAGAGATGACACTTTAAACCAAAGGTATGTGAACAGAAACACATTTATTACAAAAACCAAAAACAAAACAAAGCGAAACCCCAATTCACATTGTATTGAGCTACAATATGGTAGCGGATAAAAAAAAAATTTTATTTTTACACAGTTTAAGAGGACTCCTAACAGAACAGAATCTGGTGGCCATGGGCGGGGACACAGGGTTGGAAAGCGTTAGTAGCGGCGAGTGAAGCGGGCTTCGTTAGGTCTGTTCCCTCGGGTCTGGCCTCCAAATCCTCCTTGCATTCCGCCGCGTGGCATCACATGGCCCCGGGAGGCTCCACTGGGGGCAAAGCTGCCCCGCCTAGGAACAAATTCAGAGTCTTTTGTCCATGAAGCCCTCCCACTGTGCAGACAACCTGTCCCAAACTGCACACGTTCATTGGGATGGGCACGCCTGCCCAAGGGCAGGGACTCTTCTGGGCTCTGGAGCAGCGCCCTCAGGAGACAGGCTCACACCCGTTTGAGGAGCATGACACAGGAAGGACCATCCATCACAGGGAAGGGGAAGGCAGTACTGGTTGGAAAAGACTTGACTGTTTTTAAACCTTCACCAAGTGAAGCCAACATGCAAAGAAGAGACAGGTAAAGGTGGAGAGGTGAAGCATCGAGGGAAAGACTACGCGCCAGTGACAGCACCTTACCCCGACATCCCTCCCCGGCTCATCATGTGGCCTGGCCCAGAGTGGCCAGACATGCTTCTCTCTCCACCTGGAAAACAAGAGAGGCCTTTCACACTGGGCACCGGCGGGGTCTGCAGCACAGCAACACGGGTGGAGCCCACTCAAGTGCCCCTCAGGAGATGCCATTTGGGGGCCTGAGGCCTGAGTATCGCCCACATGTGGCTTGTCCCCAAGTCACAGTGTGGGGTTGGATGGATGGGCAGACACCCAGAGTACCATGTCTGTGGCCTGGCCCTCTGCTCACTGCTCCACCAGTATCATGAATGAGCTCTGGGAGTGGTGGGCAGATGAGGCAGTGTGACCACCCTGCCCTCGTGAAGCTGGAAGACCAGCAGAAGGATGACCTTGAACAAATGCCACCTCTATCCTTCTAGAGGCTTCTCGGGACAGGTATCTGCTACCTGGAAGAACTAGCTCCTTACCTTGCCACCTCTTGTGGTCCCTGTCCATCATGCCTCCCTCGGCACCACCCTGCCATGCACGGTCATCCTCCAGTCTTCGGCCATGGTCCCCCCAGTCACGTCTGCCCCTTGGAAGACAGACATCTCTGATTTGGATTGCCCTCATCTTGCGGTTTCATTGTAACAACAGGGGAGGACTTAAAGGAGACAGTGTATGTTAACCCTCTACGGCGCCGGCCCGCCACTCCTTTCCCTATACCAGGTCCTTGGCTTGTGGTACGGGGATGCCACACTCTGCTCCGCTGTGTCTCAAGGCAGACAAGAGACTCACAGGGGTGATCTGCATGGAATTCCTTGACAGTTTCTAGTCCCCCAAAGAAAGGAGCACAAATGAAACCTGGACAACTGGGACAATCCTATCCTGATAAATGTGTGCGCCACTCAACTAACCCTTTCAGCTGACTGGGAGTGTGGTATAAAGCCGACCCTGCAGCATGGAGGATAGACACAAACCTGGGAGGGGGAGGCAGCCCCCTGCCTTCACTCATCCTCTTGTCTGAGCCGTAGCCACCCCACCCGTCGCGGGAGTCCCGGCCATGGCGCTCTGGTCCTCCATGACGCTCGGGGTAGTGCTGACCATGAAAGAGAGCAGAAAGCAAGCTTCGAATCGAGGCCTGGGCCCCAGGGCCTTTCAGACAATGTAATGACTACAGCAACAATAAACTCAAGCAAACTTGTGCATGGGCCCACAAAGTGCCGACACACACTCTGCACACTGTCCTCTGTGCAGGTAAGTCCTGTCTCTCACAGGGCATTTCATCTCACAACACAGTCAGCAGACCAGAAAGGCCACTCCCTGGGCTCACAGCCTGAGAGAAAACGGTACTCAAGATCACCCTGGAGCAGAGGAAAGAGATCAGGGCTGAGAGTCAGCCTAAGGAGAAGACCCAGACTCAGCGGTGAAGGGTCTCCGTGATGGCACCATGACAACGGGGTAAACTGTAGTCGATGTCACGAGACCGTGTGTGTGAACTACTGTATGTAAAGTGAATTTGGTCTGTAAACTTTCACCCAAATCACAATTAAAGAAAAAAAAATTATAGTTCATGAATTTAAGACTCTTTTTGGGGAAGAGAAATTTAAGAATCAGATAATGCTCTTTTGTTTATTGCCCACAGCTTAAACACAAACTTGGACAGAGTACAGACTGAAAAATAAAGCTGCCAGATGACACGGGCCACTGCTGCAACTGAAGGCCCGCCTCTCTCTCCCTGCCTGGATTTGAAAATGGATCCAGCCATTCTCTGTTCAGCCAACCAGTGACAAGGCCCTGGTGCTCGGGGTGCCTTCCACTTTTCTGTTTTCCAGATGGTCAGGTATCACCATCTGACATTTCAAGGCAGCACTTATGACTTAGGAACGTGGGCCAGACATGAGCTGTTCCAGGGCCAAACCGGGCACTGGGTGAGCAAGTGCAACCTTACTTTCAATCCCTGGGACACACACAGTGGTCGTTTGGGATCACAGTGGGTGCTGTTCAACAGAGCCAGGCAAACTGCACCAGGAGACTCTCGTGGTTATACAGCAGTGCAGTTAGTAACTAAGGCGGCACACAAAACCTAGGGGTCAGGATCCAAGAGGCTTCTACTTAGACAACCAAGATCCAACACAAATCATCCGATTCTAATCTTGCAAGCACATTTCCTCGAAGACCAAAAGGGAAAGAGAAAGGGCATGTGGAAGGGAGGACAATCAATTCTACAGGAAGATGTGGCTACAACTGTAGCCTGACTTACCTGTCCTTCTCGGTCTCCCATCATTGACCTTGAGCCTTCTCTCCTGAAAAAGGTCATTTAAATTCAGATGTAAGGCACAGGAGAGGCTTGCGTTATAGACAGGTTGATTAGCCCCAAAAGGAAAATAACCTTTCCCAAACGGAGCCTACAAAGGCCATACTGAGTTGTCATATGTTCAGAATGAAACAGAATAAGATACTACCCTTCACAGGCAGGGCTGTCAGGCATAGACTGACCTGTCCACTGAGTGGTCCGGGTAGCGGCCACGATCCCGATGGTCAAAATCGTGGAAGCGCTCCTGGCGGCTGAAGTCAGAATGGTAGCGGTCATCCAGAGCAGCTCGCTTGGCTTCCGGCCAATAGGAGTCATCTCTCCTGTGAGGAGCATGTGCGTATTTTAAAGAAAGGGTCGAGGGTATTTCTCCTGGCAGACAAATCAGATCTGCGGGAGATGATGAACCAACCCTAGACACACACTCCAGTCCTTGTCACCTCACAGAACGGAAAGGGGACTGGAGTGAACGACACCGACCAAGAAAAGCTGGGAGGGGATGGGAGATCTGCTCCAGCCCAGGCGACAAAATGACTCGATGTCCTGCTTTGCCACGCCCCCACTAGCTGGAGAGGAGTTTGGATCAGTGACGCAGCAGCCACCATGTGCACACCCGGCTCTTAAGGAACAATCTTGTGCTAAGAGGACATGACTAAATTATTCTAGAAGAAGTGGGCTCACCGGCCATCCACGTCATAGGGCCGCCGCACGGCAGGCCGCCGCTCCTGCTCGTAGCGCAGCTCCTGCTGGCGCCGCAGCTCCTCGCGCTCGCGGTGGATGCGCTCCTGCTCCTTCCTGCGCTCGTGCTCCACGTGCATGCGCTCGCGCTCCAGCCGTTCACGCTCCCAGCGCTCACGCTCCAGACGCTGCCGCTGGAAGGCCAGCTTCTCGCGGGCAATCTCCAGCCGCTCCCGCTCCTCCCGCTCCCACTGGGCCTGCATGCGCTGCTCTCGCTCGCTGCGCTCACGCACCCTGCAGGACAAGGGCAGCAGCTAGGTGGGCGCCAGGTGGCCCAGGGACCTTGGGGCCACGGCTCTGGCCCCACTGAGCACTGCTGAACTGCGTCCTGTGGGCTGACCTTCCACCACATGACCACATGTGCCAAGGTGGCATGAGGCCAAGCCAGCTGAAAGGAGGAAGCAGTCAGCAACTGTTGGAAACCTGGGAAGGCGGCTCAGTGCTGCCTGGCCAGGGAGTAGAGAGCAGCAGCTACAATATGAACAAGGCCTTGTTTCCCAAGCTTCTTTATCAAGTTCAACATCTGAGTTCATGAAACAGACAACTCACAACAGGGAACAGAACACATTTCACCACAAGGAAGTCAATATCAGACCTGCTGCTTCCCAAACCACACTATTCCAGTAAGTCATGAGACAAGAGCTCACCCATTGCGGTTGGGACGATTACAACTCAGTGATCCAAGAGGACAGAGTAGAACTGCCCCATAGTTTCCAAGGCTGTCAATCTCTATAGAAGCCAAGTCCAAACCAAACCCAATTCTGTGGACTCAATTCTGACTGAGGAAAGAGTAGAGGCGCCTGTAGTGTTTCAAAAACTGTAATCTTTACAGAAGCTGACTGTTATCTATCTCCCATAGAACAGCTGGTAGAGTTAAATCATCAACTTTTTGTTTAGTAGGGCTTCTTGAAATGGGTCTAGTGCACTAGAACTGGAATCTTTCAATGATGCATGTAATTCAGGTAACCCAACACCAGGCCTACTGCCTGGAAACCTTCCCAATTTTGGTCCATTTCCTTCCAGGCTTTATCCTTCATCTCTTCATCTGTGCAACTACCAGTAAACGTTTAGATGTATACTTGTACCAACAAAAAATGGTTTCTAACAGTACTCCCTGCACAGAGGGCATGGTTATAACAAGAGTCGAGGGAAACAACCAAACCTGTGGACCCCGACTCACCTACGGGACTCTGAGTCTCTGGACTTGCGAGGCTCTTTGACTTTATCAAAAGACACAACGGACCGCTTCTCTCTGCTAGCCGATTTGCGATCTTGGCTCTTGGAAGCCTAGTTTACCAGAGAACATTAAATTACCAGAGAACATTAAAAAGTTAAAAGAAGAAACAGAAAACAACAAACCAAATCAATCGCCATGAAGTTAATTCCAACTCATAGTGACCACATTTGTGTCAAACAGAAATTTGCTCCATATGGTTTTAAATCTGTGACCTTTCACAGAAGCAGACTGCCAGCCCTTTCTTCTGAGGGACCCCCTGGGTGGGTTTGAACTGCCAACCTTCTGGTTAGCAGGTGTGCACTTAACTACCCAGCCTGGAAGGCAGACCAGGTATGTCTATGTCTGGGCAATGAATGAGAGGATCACAGATGACGACTCTTAAAGCCATCAAATAACAAGATGCCTACTGGTACTCATCTGGGCTGTCCTCAAGAAACTGTGGGTTTTGTTCATCGTAATTTTAAGTCACAGAACTCCAGCAACATTTGAAGCTGAAATATGATCTACTGAGTATACTTATCTCCAGCATTCAAAACAAATTCCTTACTTTTGTTCTCTTCCTTCATAATTAAACATGCAGCCAGTGCCTGGGGTTGCTTCTGGCACATCTGATAATTTCCTGGTGCCCTGACCTCAGCCAAGTCTACGATATCGACCTATTATATTTAGCCCGGTACCCACACTTTCATCTGTCCATTCTCCAATCATAGGTTTTAAAATAACGGCAAAATACTACAACATACTAAAACATTTGCACAAATATAGGAGGCCTGAGGACTGGAACATGGCCCTGGGTGTGTTGCTAGTCACCAGTAAATGGTAAGGATAGATCCCCGAGTCTCTGCTGTGTGGACACCTGTTTCCCTCCCTGCAAGCTGGGAGTTTTGTCAGATAGAGGGAGCCTATGTGACCAGATCCCAAGGTAAATCCAGGTATCGGGTCACTAATGGGCCCCCTGGAAGAAATTCTGTGTGCACCCGGTGTCATGTTCATTGCTCTGTGACTTTCATGGAAAGGAGCATGCATGAGGGAGCCTCCAACTGGATCTTCCCAGACCCTGCCCGTGTGCCCCACCACCTTCTGTGCCAGGGTGGCAACTCTCGCCATGAGCACCACTATATGCTAAGTCCTTCACGTGCTGCTAGAGGGATGTCAACCATGGCCGTCTTGGGGACCCCTGGCCTCCGTGTCCATTCTTGTAAGGCGGTCAGAAAGTGAACTTAGGAAAATCAGTAACAGTCCATGTAATGGCAGGCTGAGTGAAGTGTTAAGTTGCTGACAGCAAGTAGTGGGAGGCAGTGACAGGGTTACAGAGTGGGGCACCAGGCAAGGTGAGCACCTGGCTTAGTGTGTAGGCTAGACGGGCTGGCTGGGGTCTCTCATGGAGGTTCCTGTGTGGGCTGGGTTGAGGAAGGAGAAATGGAGAGCTGGCTAGAACTTTCCAGGCAGGCAGTGAGAATAATACAGCAGGGTGGACTACTGTACGCTGTCATCACCCCCATAACCGAACTTAAAAAAAAATACCAGCTTCAGAGAATAAAAGCAGCAATTACCATCAGAGCGAAGTATGACGGGGAGGCTTTAAAACACTTTCCAATTCTCTAAAGTCCAGATTCCTACATTTTTGAAAATGCAGAAAGCATTTATCAAATAAAGCTCAAGAATTCCCTCAAGGGGGGATGTTTGGGACCAGGTTTGCTGGTCCAATAGAGCCTGGTGGAACCACTGAGACTATGGCCCCTAGCTACCCTTCAGGTCTGGAAATGAGACCACACCTGTGGTTTCCAGCCAAGCAAAGTACAGGTATGTGAGTTGAACATTTACCTCAAGTGGACACATGCCCTTGAGAGAACAATCATGGGAGAAGGAAGGGCACCTTATGCACAGGGAGACAGCTTAGGGGGCAGTAGAGTATGGAGGGATGGACACTGGGAAGTGGTACCTTGGGGAGGAAATTGGAGGGGAGCTGTTGCATTGTGGTAAATTGTGGTCAATGACATGAGACAAAGTATATGTGAACTGCTGTATCGAGAGTGATTTTGCTCTGTAAATCTTCACCCAAATCTAAATAAAATAAAATTAAAAAAAAAAAAAAGATTTCCCTCAAATCTGCAGAGAAATGTACACTTATAAGGAAGAGTAAAGAACACAAAGTCCCTTCACCAGGAAAGTCGATACTTACTCTTTCTTTGGACCCAGATGTTTTCACGCTGATGACAGGCACACCTTTGGACTTGTCCATGACGACAGTCCGCTCAGTTCCACGACTTCCTACAGGAAAAAATGAAGCAGTGTAAAATAAGATGCAACAAACACCAAAGAAGCAGGGGAGAGAGGATCGTATAGGAAAACGAAGTCTAGTTTGTTTTGTCAACTGACCACGGCCCTTCAACAAAGCACACCAGCTAGGAACAGAGATGCGGGGAGGCCCGCGTGCCACTGCTGGTGGGCTACCTGACTTTGTGGCTCTAGATCGCTCAGAGGGTCCGGATTTCTGATCATCTGGATCTTTACCCTTTTCTCCGCTTCCATCTTCACCCTTTTTAGCGTCGTCTTTCTTATCGGCTTTATCATCCCTCTTGAGGTTTGCAGATCTGCAATAACACCAAGATACAGAGATCCGACAGATCAGGCATCAAGGGCACAAGCTGGCTACAACTAGATTCCTGAAATGAGCACTAAACGACAAGGCAATAGCCTCACTGGCCTTAGCAGGGACCAGGAAGTGCCAGCATGGCCTAGTCTGAATGGCTGTGGGAGAGGGACTGCAGAAAGTAAACCCTCTCCAATGACTGGTGGCCAAAACCCTCCAACAAAAGGTGAAAGAATAAAGATGGGGTGCAGAAAGGTATGACCTGCACTTGGCCTTGCCCATCTATGGAAAACCTGACTGGGGAATAAGTGTCACAAGAGGAGGAGGGCCTTGTGATGTGCGGGAAGAGTAGTACCTGTCACTGGTGCTCGACTTCTCCTTCTTCCCCTCGCCCTCTCTCTTGTCGGAGGTTTTCTTTCCCGCAGGTTCATTTTTTGCCTGGAATCATATGGACAGAAGAAAGAGACAATCAAAGCAGGTACTACCTGACTGCCTAACAATGGCCAGGACCCAGGAAGAAAAAGGCCACTTACTTTTTCCACCGAGATCATCTTCCCATGGAGCTCCGTTTTGTGCAGGTGGTTGATACACTTTGTGGCCTCTTCCGCGGTAGACATGGTGACAAAACCATAGCAGCGAGCTCCAGGACTCCGGGCGTTTGTCACCACCTTGGCACCCACCACCTCAAAGAAAAGCAAGCCAGTGTGGTTCACACACCAGGCTGACACAGCCCCCAACACTGTAAACTCAACACACAGGGTGCTAGGGGGGTTGGTGCTGTGTCCCCCCTGGAATGAAGTCCAGCAGGGAAATCCTGTCACCTGAAGCAGAGCAGGGGCAGATACAGCATTCTCTCTACTGCCCACAGCCCTAGCTTACTCTCAGGGTCAGGACAGCACTGTGAAGAAGTGGAGGAATGCAGACAAAATGAAGAGCTCTGCGGGCATCCCTGCACCATTCATTAGAAAAACGTGAAAAAATGATACAAAATAGACAACCATGCTACGTGAGGGGTAATACACACCTATGGACCAAGGTGGGTATTAGGCCAGGCTTGCATAAAGTTCCCTGGAGGACAAAGTCCACTTGACTATGAATGACAAGAGTCAACAAGATGTCCCAGGCATGACAGGTCCTTTCCATGCTGCTTGATTTAATCAACCACCAAGTCCAGGAAGCAGAAAGTTGGACCTGCCTTTTCTGGGAGGGAGCCCTGTGGCTCAGGGGAATGCCTGCTGCGAGCAGTGATAGAGCCCCTATGTGGGCTGCTGCTGTTTCGCTGAGGCTTAGAGCCAAAGGGGTTTGTGAGCCGTCTGCATTCTACCCTAAGGACCTCCAGGGAATCAGGAATGGGGTCCAGCTAGGGAGACTAGGCCAGGGAGCTCCCAGCCACCCGCCCTGTTTTAGGAAAAGCCCAGGCAGGTGACCAGTCATTTCCACACCACATGATACTGCATTTTCCTCTTAGTAGCTCTTGGGTAAATACTGCTGCTCTGATCTGGCCTCATTCACTCTCAGCTGCTATGATCCAGCTCCACTCAGTAGTTTTTCCTGTCTCGTGACCCCCTGCTCTCCTGCCCTTTGCTAGCCTTAAAGCCCTCCCTAGGTGCTAAGTCTTTGGGATGGCAGAAACAGATCCACAAAGCCTTGGAAAGTTAAGTGGTGGCCTGGGGGCCGGGCGGGCGAGCAGAGGGGAGAGATGTAAAGCCATCTGACAGCAGAGCTCACACCTCCCCCTGGGCAAGGACAGGCCAGCCTCAGGCCATCAACACTGCTTTCAAATCTCCTCCTCCAGAAAAGCCCTGGTTCTCTTACCTTCCCGTATTTGCTGAAAAGATTCTTCAGATCTGTAGCTCTGGTGGTAGAAGATAGTCCACTAACCCAGAAATTTCTACCACAACTGCTACGACCTAATGCAAAACAAAGTTCTGGTCAATGCAGTACCTGCAAGATCCTGAACCTCTAAGGTCCATTTCCCACCAGACATACTGCCCACTTGTCCCCTGATGCCAGCATCACCAAGCAAGGGTGGGACAGGCCCACTGTCCCCAATGACCTCTGTGGATACACTCTGGGCCCGACAGGACCAATGGAAATGGCAGTAACAACAGCAAGTCAGGGGCTTTTAGGACCATCTCAGGTATCCTCAGAAAGTCACCCAAATGGCACCACATGACCTCATGTCAGACTGCTGCTGTCAAGCAGTAAACAGATGGCTGTACTTTTCTGTAGTGTGCACCTCTGCGTCTGTGCCCTATTTTTATTCCTTTCAGAAGCCTGATTAAAAAGTAATTCTGGCCAGAATTACTTCTCAAATAATGACTTTTAATCCAGGGTTAAGATGTCAATAAATCCAAAACACTAGGTAAACCCCAAGATATCTGAAACTAGAAGTATTGTTCAATTTAATGTCTTTGTCACTGGGTGGTGGAATTTGCAAATAACAGGGCTGAGAACTCAGAGCCCTCCACCGATCAATGATCTACCATCTCTCAGGTGCTGGCCTATTCCTAGCATCTGGAACCTGCAGGATTAACTGCAGAGAGAGGAGAAGACTTCATGAAAGACCTGCGGGGATCATTTGAGTAAGAAACACTGTTTCCTACAAGGAGGAATTGAGGACCCTGCTGCCGCCAAGACCAAACATGTCGTGAGAGACCGAGGTCACCTTGAGAACCTACCCTTTTCCTCTTTGGAAAGGCGTTTTGTATCCGAGTCATCTTCACCAGAACTAGAGACAAAACATAATGTCACTCCAGAAGGAACATGCATAGAGTAAACCAAATTCAAAATTATAAAATACGTGCTGAGGTTGCATACCTACCCGAAATTTAGTTCTGAAAAAAATCACACCCCAAGAAACTTGTATTGGAAATCTGACCTAACCATAAGATTTCAGACCCACAGGAGTTAATTAATTCTGCTGGACTAAAGATAATTAGGAAGAATTAAAGAACACAACCATGATAGGTTGAGAAAAGAAAAAGAAAAAAAAAAAAAAAAAAGGATTATGTAATCAGCTGAAAATACAAAGAGAAATAAAACACTCTCTAGAAGTTAACTACAACTGCATCAGTCTGGCTGGCCGATTGCAGACAAACAGCTTATGTGTGTCATTAAGTGACCAATGAAAGGAGATAGCGTCTGGTCTAAAACTGAGAAAAAAACAAACCTCATTTTCTGATCAGCGCCCTCACTGGTTGAGGACTCTTTAGGAGCCGGAGGGACTTCATTACAAGCTTCATTATCAAGCTTCTTCACGTCTTCTTTGCTATCTCTGGGCTCAGGGCTTTGGGCTTCCTGGGCCGCCTCCGCCACCTCCTCGCTAGAGGCGTCCGCGTCTTCTGGGCCTTTACTACTCTGCTCAACTGGCTTCTCTAGCCCTACGGGCTCACAGTCCGGGCTCTCACCATCGCCTGTCTGCTCCACGGGCTCCCTTTTCACTACCGCTAACAGGGTGTCTGCCTTGCTCCACTGAGCGTGTGTTGACTCGCTGGCCAAATCTAAATCGCCCTCCTCCTGCTCCTCCTCCGGGTGAGCGCTGTCAAAAAGGTCCTCTTCTTCCGCGAGCTTTCTGTCTGGCCCCACGCTACTTGTATCCTGTGCCAATGGCTGCTCCAGCTCGGAACCTTCTTCTTTTACTGGCTCAGATTTACAAGTTTTCCCCAAAATGTCGAGTATTTTCTCATTTTCTACGGATTTAACAGGAATAGAATGGCACAAGGTTTAATTACCAGGGAAATAAAGCAATCACAAATGCGGATCTGGCACGGCTGCCACACTAACACGAAGAGAACGGCTAGCTACACAGAGATTGGAAAACCCGAGGGTACGCACATTTACCTGCTTCGACTACCTGCACGCCAAGCGACTACTGCATTACGCCTCTATTCTACAGGGAAGAGACAAGCATCCCAGAGATTTAACCCCCAAAACCTTCTGGCTGATTCTTGACAGTCTTCATTCTGTCGACGTTTATATATGACTCTTCCAAATTTAGCTTCCAAAGTCCAAGTTGCTTAACTGAATGAATTGCCATTCACTGAACAGCTCAATTTCCAAATTTCTTTGAAATTCTTTTAACAGAATCATCCAATATGCAAACCAGAATATCTTCCAGTGGTGCTCTGAGATATTTGCAGTCCAGAAAGTGCACAGTATTTGTTTGGAATTCTCATGAAGAAACTCTTTCCTCTTCGGGAATCCAGTATGTCTCAATGTTTTACAACTGTTCTACCTACAACTACCTGCACTGCCTGAACGAAAAACCAGAAAATTAAGCTAGTGACCAGTATCACAAGATCTGTTGTGTGGGTGCAGAGGCATTCGCTCTCAAGAAGCATGCAAAGGCTTTCTGTGGACACTTAAGTCCTATTTCTGATTTAAAAGTTAGGACACACATCATTTCACTGATTGATTTTATAAAATGAGCAGTCAACCACGTTCACAGATCTGGTGATACAGCTGGGTTTCCAATCTCTATGATCCTGGTATGTTCTGGATTGTAACCTTTTAGAACAATGTATACTACCATAAGGCAGCTTTATAAAATTAAAGAATTCAAATTAGAGAAGGTAGAAAACTAGAATGGTTCCAAACCCCTGGTGTTAAGTTTTTCATTTAACAGTACCTGGCTCCAGAGACGGCTCTTCAATTTCCTGCAACAAAAAAGACAAGTTAAGGCCATGCAGGACAAGGGAAATCTATCATTTACCACACTAGAAACTAGGGTAACTGAGAAGACAGTGTTTGAAAGGCAGACTAGGTAATTCACAAAGCAGCAGCTGGAGAAAGGCCCTGTTCAGGGCAAGTACCCTACAGCACTGCGGTCCACCTTGCTATCGTGGTTCTGAGCCCATGCTTACTGGTCTCCTTTTTTGCAGCGTTTCCACAGCGCCTGGATCCCACTTCCCTTAGAGAATGTATCACACAGTACGGGGACTGATGGGTTGCATGTCCTTGTGACTTACACTGGTTTGAAGAAAGCAGACAGTGTCTCCCTCCTGCTTTTAGTATCAACACAAGTGCCTGACACTGAGCGGTTAATTAATTGTTTATGTATCAGTCTACAGGTGGTGTTGACTACTGCTCTTAGTTTACACAGAGGTGCCCTTGCCACCTGGTCACTCAACATTCTCCAGGATCACTTACAGCCACTCCCCATTCCCCTCTTCCAACCAGTGACCTCACCAGGGCAATTCTAACTTCTAAATAGCGCTCAAACTCCTCCTGACAAGCACCATTAACTCCAGCTATGGTGTTTCCCCACGTACAGTGGCATCTGGCTCTACTATCCCTGCCTACACTGGCATGAACCTTGTTGCTACCACAACAAGTATCTCTGTGGGTTTCCACAATGGCTCTCGATACCACCTACCTCCCTGATGCTCCTGTCCTGGCAAGTCCTGCACACTCCTCAGTTTTCAGCTTAGGGAAAATCTCTAGAAAGATTTCTCTCCTAACTCTCTCTCACCTAAACTCCAGCAGGTCCCCAGGCTCCTATGTTCCCTACACAAACAAGGGAGTGGCATTCTTCTGGAGTAAGAGCCAACACTGATTAACACTTAAGGCGGTTCCAGGCACAAATGTAAGGACTTCACATACATTAAGTTATGGAATCATCAGATAACCTAGGAGGTTGGCACTTTAGAATCATCCTTTCAAAAACACAGATTAGCGAACTGTGGCAGAATGACTCAGTAACTTGCTCAAGGGCACACAGTAGGTGGGAGGCAGCATTACTGGTGACCAGCACCATGCCCTACAGGATATTTATACTTTTTATATATCTGTTAAAATTACATACTCCTGCCACTAGAACATGACATGGTATCATGGGAAGCTCTAGAAGCGACACAGTTTCACGGTTTTTCTTTTCCTTCCCTTCCTCCCATGGAACCTAGGCGATGCTGCATAATGAAGGGTCTGAAGACTGAGCCAAGAGTCAGCTGAGGCAGAAAGTTCAGCAGAGAAGCAGAATCTTCACCTGTCTCCAAGTGGAGTTAAGTGGGGTTATCATTCCTGCTTTCACCTGTGGGTCTCTGACACCCAGAACAGGACCCAGCCTGATTCTCCTTCCTGAGCCAGCGAAGAGTGATGACACTTTGTTGCCAGAGAGCAAGTTATCATTGCTACACATGAATTGGGATTCAGCAAGTTTGTGGGAGGGCCGAGCCCTCTTCAAGGTAGGGGTTCTGGCTCTCTCATTGTCTACTTGCCCGTGCCTGGCAGTAGTCCACACTGCCAAATGTGGACTATACTGGATTTACTCACTAAATTTCATACTGAAAACCAGGCAGCCACCCTGACAGATTTACTCCACCAGTTAACATCCAGGTAGCCGACTAGCAGAAACCGTAAAAGGAAACACATCTCCCAATCACACCTGAAAGAGAGCCCCATCTCCTTCGTCTTCATCTGAGATTTAGTATTTACACACAGGGAAGTAAAATAGCCAAGATGATAAAGTCAGCAGAGAAATATGTGCACTTTGTGTGAGGAAAAACTCCCCAAAGGCAGGAGCAGCCCCTGCAAAGCACCCTCTCCCAGCGCTCTGCCCGCCCAGCTCTCTCCCCTCCTCGTTTGTGCTCCGACAACCTTAGGGAGAGGCAGCCCCGGCTGTTTCACTTAACAGTCTTTGTATAGGGGACACCATCCACACAGATCAGACTGGCCTGCCTCTCCCAGGAAATGCACAAGAACTTCTCAAGATAGGCCTTCCCATGAGCTGCAGGGCAGCCACAGTACTTGGAGGTGAGTACAAGTCAAGGAGTCAAGTCCTCGGCAAGAAGCACGTTCTACTTAGCAGAAAGAGGACAGCAACCCCCACCCCATCCCATCCCCCCAATTCTAAAACTGCTAAGAAAAACCTGCAATGACTTGTTTTAGTTTGGGCTACCATACAAACTATAGCTTAAACCTTTGATTCTAAAATTACTGAAGTATCCAACAATTACCTGCAATATAGTGAAATCAGAGGACGATGTATCTAAATTGTTTATAGTGTCTTTGTCCTCTATCTGTAATATAAACAGATTAACAGTTTATTACACCAACAGCAAGATAACATAAGGTACTGTACAATGAGAAATGGTTGTTAGCTGTGGCCAAATTGGCTCTGCCCCAAGGCAACTTTATGGAGAACAATGAAACACTGCCTGGTTCTGCACCATCCTCATACTGGGTGGTATGTCTGATCCACTGTTGTGCAAATTCGTCTCATGGAGGTTCCCTCGTTTTTGCGGACTCTACCAACCATGATGTCCTTTCCCAGTTCTTACTATATGTTAGGCATTGCTCTAAAGCCAAGGGTCAGGAAAGTTTCTCTGGAAAGGGCTAAACAATAAATTTTAGGCCTTGATGGTTTCAGTCAATGTTGCCATTGCAGTAGGAAAATAGCCAGACCATCAAAACACATGGGCGTGGCTGTATTCCAGTCAAACTTAACTACAAAAACAGATGGCTGGTCCGACAAGTGCTTGCTAACTCTTGTTCTAAAAGCATGTGATAAAGCACTCACCCACAGTATCCTCCCAAACAGAATTTTTGCAGATGAGGTTAGGTAAGGTGTCCAAGGTCACATGGGTGAGTCAGGCAGACCTCCAGGGGCTATGATCTGGACTCCTCAGCTACACTGTTTCTCATCAAACCACAGCTACTGAGCCACTACTGACAGACATTCAGCACATGTCCAGTCTATTACAGAACTTATTGTTTTCTGAATGGGGGGAGTAATACCACCCCAAAAGAAGCAGTAAGGAAGGGGGTGCTTCCCACCACTGCTGAAATAAAAATGACGTGCAGCCATTTCTCAAAATCAAACCTGCCATCCAAGGTGACAATTTTCCACCTCTACGGATACTCTGATCAGTTCCAATGGAAGAAATGCAAAAATATTCTGAGACATGGCAGCCAGATCAGCAGAGAGCAGGCTTGCTTCCCACACCCTGCCATCAGGAGATGCTCACTGTGAGGCACCCTCTGTGACCCACCATACAGAAAGTTCCTACAGACACCCTCACTGCTTCTAATTTTCGCTGCCTTTTCTGTCTACCTAACGAATATTAATTCTTATGTAAGTAGAACAGTTTAATGGCAAATTATAGCCATTAAACTATTATAACTTACAGCCATGAAGACAACATGGTGTGAGTTAAGTATATGGACCCTAGAATTAGGCTGATCTTAATTCTTATTCTCTTATGAGCTGTGTTATCACCTGGAAAGACTTCTTTAGCTCTTTACTCAACTTCCTCAACTAGAAAATGAGGACCCTAGTACCTACACCAGGAGCTCTGGTGGCGTAGTGCCTAAGGCATTTGACTGCTAACCAGAAAGTCGACAGTTCAAACCCACCAGCCACTCCATGGAAGGAAGACCAGGCAATCTACTTCTGTAAAGATTTACCACCTTGGAAACCCAAAAGGGGTCGCTACGAGTCAGAACTGACTCGATGGCAGTGAGTTTTTTTTTTTCCTCCCAAGTACTTACACCTGTTATACTGTTAAAAGAACTAAACGACATAATTAATGCTCAATGTGTTCAATGAAGAACACCTACTACAATTTTATAATACATTTGCTTTCTCTAACATGATAAAAACTAAGATTTTAAAAACACTGTCAAAATTCAGCACTGAAGGTTGGGAGGTTCCAAACAAGTTCTTAACAAGTAAAGACAAACTCTCTTCTTCAGCTTCAGTGTATTTTCGTATCATCCAAGCCACAACATCATAGACCAACTTCCTATCACAAGGAGGTGCTGAACTGAGGTTGTCCTTGAGAAGTTTAATGCTGCACCACACAAATGGTGCACACATATCCTCCTAGACTTCACAGGCACCTCTTGCCACCAAAGCAAAGTGCCCTGGTTTTAAGAACTATTCAAACTTCCCATGGAAACAGATTAACCATTATTCTATTGACCCAGCATTAAAAAAAGAACTTAATGCCACATGTCTCATCTCTGATGGTAACCAAGGTGTCAATGCGCTCAGGACCCCTCCTAGAGATGCTGCCGAGTTACCTCAGCATGAGCATGGAGCTGCTCAGGAAGCTCCTTCATCTCTCCCTCCACCAGCTCTCTACTGTCGGACAGGGACTCCGGGAGGTTGTCAGCGTCATCATCCTCGACGCAATCTGCAACGCTCCCATTATCAATTTCTGCTTCATCCAGCACACTGATATCCATCATGTCAATGTCCTGCAAGTTCTCCAGACTGGTTTCAACATCCTCCTGTGACAAAACAAAACATGACAATCACACGACCGCCCCTTGGTCAAGCCCCTGAGCAGATCTGCTGCCACCACAAGGGTGCACCTACCTGCCCATCTCCAGAGTTTTCTTCCAGCCCGTTATCTTCCACACCCTCCTCTTCTGGTTTCCGCCCTAAAGAGAGAATAATTTACAGAAATGTAATCAATGACAGACATTTCCCAGAAGCATTAAACTTCATTTGTATAGGCTCTAAACTGTTGTTTCTATCCATTTCAAACCCATGCCATCAAATCAATGCCGACTCAGTGAACCTACATACAGAGTAGAACTAATTGCTCCATGGGGTTTCCAAAGTTGTAAATCTTTAGGGAAGAAGACTGCCTCATTTTTCTCCCACAGAATGGCTGGTGGGTTCAAACCACTGATCATTACAGTTAGCCGAATGCTTTGATCATTGCACCACCAGAACTCCTTGTTGTTTCCAAGTACTACATAAAAAAGAAAACCACCACAAAAAAAAAACAACTGCCTTGGAAGTGACTCTGATTCATGAAGACCCGTGTGTATAGAAAAACTGTGCTTCATCGACTTTCTAGTGGCTGATTTGCCAGAAGTGGATCACCAGGCCTTTCTCTCAAGGAGCCTCCTTTTGGTTAGCAGCAGGCAAGGGTTTTCATCAACTGCACCACTCAGTGACTCCTACAGAGATTTTGGAGCTTCCTAGGTTGGGAACACTGTTAATACACGGATGATAAAGGCCATTCTGGGCAAGACACCTTGTACCACACCCTAAAAGAGAAGAGATTCTGTTCTTGTCAAATGACTGTGGAAATATGAGGAGATGGAAAGGAAACACTCAGCAGGACAAGGCAAACGTGTTTTAAAGCACTTTCTGCCCAGTCCTTTCACTGAGTGGAGAAGAGCAGCTAATGCCAATATGCTACTATGCTTCAGGGAAGCAAATATGGAGCTTGCTTCCCCATAGAAACAATGACAAAAAATTTAACGTATAAATACAAAGAAAATAAAATAGGTATCATCCCATATTATTCTAGGTACATACATGTACTTTACGTATGCAATGCAGTACATTACTTAAATATGGTCCTTTTGGTCAGTTGTCATAACTCCCACACAATTATTATTGTTCTTAGGGGTTGGAGAGTTGGCCCCGACTCATAGTGACTTATGCACAATAGAATGAAACACTGCCCAGTCTGCACCAGCCTCATAATCCTTGCTGTACCTGAGCCCATCATTGCAGCCTCTGCCAATCAATCCATCTTGTTGAAGGCCTTCCCCTTTTTTTGCTGACTCTGTACTTTATCAAGCAGGATACCTTTCGACAACATGACCAAAGGAGGTGAGAAGTAGTCTGGCCATTCTCTTTTCCAAGAAGCATTCCAGCTGCACTTTGTCCAGGACAGATTTGTTCTTTCTGGCAGTCCATGGTACTTTCAGTATTCTTTGCCAAGACCATAATTCAAACTCTTCTTTGGTTTTCCTTATTCACTGTCTGCATTTAACATGCTTATGAGGGGACTAAAAATACCACGGCTTGAGTTAGGTGCACCTTAGTCTCCAAAGTGGTATCTTTGCTTCTTAACACTTTAAAGAGGTCTTTCGCAGATTTGCCCAGTGCAACATGACGTCTGATTTCTTAACTGCTGCTTCCAGCGGGTGCTGACTATGGATCCAAGTAAAAATGAAATCTGAGACAACTTCAATCTTTTCTCCATTTACCATGATGTTGCTTACTGGTCCAGTTGTGAAGATTTTTGTTTTCTTTATGCTGAGATATAATGCATACTGAAGACTGTAGTCTTTGGTCTTCATCAGTAAGTGCTTCAAGTCTTCTTCACTTTCAGTAAAGTTGTGTCATCTGCATATTGCAGGTTCTTAATAAGTCTTCCTCTGATCCTGATACCACATTCTTCATATAGGACAGCTTCTCAGATTATATACTCAGCATACAGATTGAATAAGTATGATGAAATGATTTTAAACCATGTAGTATCCTTTTGTTCTGTTCAAATGACAGCCTCTTGGTCTCTGTACAGGTTCCTCATGAGCACAATTAAATGTTCTGTAATTCCCATTCACTGCAATATTATGCATAATTTGTTATGATCCACACAGTCAAAATACCTTTGCATAGCGAGTAAAACACAGGTAAACATCTTTCTGGCATACTATGCTTTCACCCAAGATCCATCTGACATCAGCAATGATATCCATCCCTCGTTCCACATCCTCTCCTAAATCCAGCTTGAATCCCTGTCAGTATACTGCTACAACCATTTCTGAATTATCTCCAGCAAAGTTTTATTTGCATGTGATATTAATGACATTGTTTGATAATTTCAACATTCTGTTGGATCACCTTTGGGCACGAATATGAATCTCTTCCAGCCAGCTGGCCAGGTAGCTGTCTTTCAAATTTCTTGGCATAAATCAGTAACTCACTCCAATGCTATACACCTGTTTGTTGAAACATCTCAATGGGTATCCCATCTATTCTGGAGCTTTGTTTTTCACCAATTCCTTCAGTACAGCTTGGAATTCTTCCATCATTACCACTGGTTCTTGATCATATGCCACCTCCTGAAATAGCTGAACATTGACCAACCACTGTTTTTGGGACAGTGACTTTTGAGGCTTCCTGTATCACTCTATATTTTGCTCATAAAATCTTTCAATATTCCAACTCAAGGCTTGAAATTTTTCTTCAATTCTTTCAGCTTGAGAAGTGTTGAGTGTTCTTCTCTTTTGGTTTTTTAACTCCAGGTCTTTGCACATTTCATTATAATACTTTACTCCGTCTTCTCAAGCTGCCCTTTGAAATCTCGTTCACCTCTCTGATTTCTTCATGTCTTCCACTCCTTTTAGCTACTCTCATTCAAGAGCATGTTTGAGTCTCTTCTCACGATTTTTATCTTTTCTTCTTTTGCTGCTTTTTTAACAACCATTTGTTTTCTCCATGTATAACAAACATTCTTGATGCCATCCCATAATTCATCTGGTCACTGGTATTCAATGATTCAAATCTATCCTTCAGATGGTCTCTAAATTCAGGTGGGATATAATCAAGGTCGCATTTTGGTTCCTGTGTACTTGTTTTAATTTTCTTTGGCTTCATCTTTAACTTGCATACAAGCAATTAATGGTCTATTTCATAGTCAGTTCCTGACCTTGTTGTTACAGAAGATATTGAACTTCTCCACGGCCTCCCACAGATGTAGTCAATCTGATTCCATTTGGCAAGGTCCATGTGCATAGCTGCCGTTTATGTTGTTGAAAAAAGGTATTAGCAATGAATATAAGTCATTGGTATTGTAAAATTCTATTACGTGGCACCATTTCTATCACACCAAGGCTGCATTTTGCAACTACCAATGATTCTTCTTTGTTTCCAACTTTCACATTCCAATCACCAGTAATAATCAGTACACCCTGACTGCATATTTGGTCAATTTCAGACTGCAGAAGTTGGTAAAAATCTTCAATTTCATTATCTTTGGCTTTAGTGGTTAGTGCATAAATTTGAGTAATAGTCACATCAACAGATCTTTCTTGTAGGCATATGCATATTACCCCAGCACTGATAGCACTGTACTTCAGGACAGATCCTAAGATGTTCTTTTTGACAACAAATATGACGCCATTCCTCTTCCATCTGTTATTCCCACCATAGTAGACCGTATGACTATCTCATTCAAAACAGCCAATACCAGACCATTTCAGATCACCAATACCTAGGATATTGATCTTTATGCGTTCCGTTTCATTTTTGCCAATTCCCAATTTTCATAGATGCATACTTTGTGCACTCCACATTCCAATTATTTACTCTATCCATATCATTAAGATGGACTCTATTTTGAGAAGGCAGCCCTTCTCCAGTTGTATTCTAAGTGACTTCCAACCCGAAGGGGCTCATCTTCCAGCACTATATCAGACAATGTTTCAGGGATGTTCACAAACTTTTCCAGTAATATATCAGACAGTGTTTCACTGCTGTTCATAATGTTTTCACTGGCCAGATTTTTCAGAAGTGGATGGCCCCAGCCTTGTTCCTTGTCTGTCTTAGGCTGGAAGCTCCGCTGAAACATGTCCATCACGGGCGACTGCTGGTATTTGAAATACAGGTGGCATAGCCTCCAGCCTGACAGCAACATGCAAGCCACCACAGTATGACACACTGACAGATGAGTGGTGGAGGCAATGACTGGGTGGGACTAAAGGTGGAATGTATGGATTGTATTGAGTTAGCTTAAAATAGGTGTCAATATTCCAAATATTGTGCAGTTGTCCTCCATGTTGTGATTTGATGTCATTGTCCTCCATTTTGTGATGTGTTGTCAATTCTAGCAGCCTCTATTGCCTGTGGTTATGGTTCTATTTGAGTCAATTGCTTTGTTAATGAAGCAGGATTAGGATGGGATATATCTTGAGCTACCACCTTACTAGAGGGTGTGACTTAAGTCACCACCTTTATTCAACTCACCACCCTTCAGTCTTTCTTAACCGACACCTCTGCTTGAGCCACCTTTTTCACCTTACTAGAGAAAAAAGGAGAATGAAGCAGAAGGGAGACCACTACCACCAAATAAGAGCTAGAGGTAGAACATGGCTTTCAGATACAGAATCCCTGCATCAAGAACCTCCCAGACCCAGGAGACAGAGCTATAATACCAGAGACAGTGATTACTATCAACATAGAAATGGTGGCAGCAGAATAAGTAGCTGGCAGAACACAACATGGTGGGCTTCCCCACCCACATAGCAAGAAAGTGGACCACCTTCAGTGCCAAGGTACCCTTGGGCACTTAATGTATAACACCTGCCCCAATGGCCCAGGGCCAGAGAGGCCTACCTGTGGACCTAGCTGAGAAGAGGCTGTCCTGATCGAAGACCTGTATCTTAATTGTTTCTTATCCTATTACCTCCCTAATAAACCCAGTAAGGACGAGTATAGTCTGAGTTCTGTAGTAACTACTGCAACAAATGCTCAACCCAACAGAGAAGCAGAAAGTGCCTTGGGAGGGAGAGCTGGTAGCAGAACTGGTAAAAGGTTTCAGGCATGTCTGAGTTCTACCTCCACAGCAATCGGCTCTGGGCTGTTGATGCTGATCTCGATTTTCCTCCCACCTCATGAAGTTAGAGGAGGT